AAAATTCACAGTTTTGTCAATGTTCTTCCCGCTTGTTAAATAGTGTGAACATATAATGTTAAACAAAATCTAAATCGTTGCGACAGTTGTCGTATGAGGAGAATTATACGTTACTAGCAAGCCAATTGTGTGAAGATTCCCTATACCGTAAATCTAATCGGAGCGACATTTAACTTGTCGTTGTTTTTTCGAGCGATAACAGTGACACCAACAACGTCCGCAAAAGTAACGGCAGTAGCCACCTCTCTTTTTTTTTTTTCCCACATCTCTTTTGTTTCTGTGAACATTTTTATTTTTTATCGCGGGCAATGTCGTTGCGACACCGAACAGGCTATATAATATTATTTTCGTTTCAAAATATAAGATGTTTTGGAGATTTTTGAAGGTTGGGCTTTACCAATAGTTTTTTTGTTTAAAAACATACTAAGATGTTTTGTCAATCGTATATACTTTTTAACTTTATTGAATATTGTATGACCACTAGTATTTTTTTTTTTGTCACATTTTTTGGTCACAAAGTGACCACTAGTATTTTGAAGTCTTTTTTATGAAGTTATGATTGGTTAAATTATTTTAATTAAATTTATTAAATGATATTTTTTAGAATAAAAGTAGTTTCTTAATATCAGCGTTTTTAGCTAAAACATCTTACATTTTGAAACGGAGGGAGTATAAAACTAAGTGAGTACATGTTTTGTTCTTTTTAGATTAAAAATATTAACAAGATATATTGTTCTGTTTCTAATTTAAACTTTTTGAAGATTCCTAATTAAGTTTTATAGAGTTAAGTATGTATATTAGACCAATTTCTTTTCATTGCTATCAAGGTCGTGCCTTCCATGCAATTAAAAAGGCATTCGTCTCGGACCGGATGATATATGTAATTTTAAGGGCTCCATATTCTAAAGATAAATTGTAATATAGTAGTAAAAGTATGGTAATATAAATTTTTGAAATTCACATTCTAAATTCAAAACTATTTTGATGCAAAAACAATAGTTTATTGTTTATCCAATTACTTTTTTATATATATACTCTAACAATCATTTGAAATTAGATTCTAATTATTGTTAAAAAATTATGTAAAAAGTATTTTATTTTCAAGTTCGTCTCGGGTCCCTAGAAATCTGGGCACGACACTGATTGTTTTCCAAAGTTTACAGTTTTTAAGGGTTCAATTCTGCAAGCTAGAAAAACTTTATTCACTAAAATTAACCTACATGAATTTTTTTCTTCCTTTCTAAACTACATGGCTTTTAAAAGAAACCTGAATTTTAAAAAAATCATTAAATCTTGACGCTCGCCGTTTGAAACCAAATTTAACTAAAAATTATTGCTTCACTGATCAATTT